CATATTGACTTATGTAATTTTCATGCAACACATTCCCTAGGAAACAAAAAGTATGTCATTACTTTTATTGATGATGCATCTAGATATTGTTATTGATGGGATTTATATGTTACAAAAATCTTATTTTGGCAGAAAAACATAAAACCTAAGTTCACATGCACCCTAAAGGATCTATGTTCTCACTATGATTTGCAAGCAAATATTGAATATCAAGAACCCTAGAAGTACATTGTTATTTTCGAAAATAACTAAAAGGTTATTAGAAAATACTTATCTTATGTTTATTGCAGTAAGTAAACAATTATTCCTTCTTGATCTAGCTTTAGAAAGCAAACACCAGAAGTTATGTGCTTCTAATGGCTCACACCTAAACCCTATCAAGTTGGAGGCTAAAGAGGAGAGAGGAGAGAAGGAAGAATTTTCTTTTCTACCTCTTGTAGAAGGGATGAACGAAATTGTGAACCCTTAGGAGAGTTTATACAGGTGATAGGGAGGTAAATAATAAGCCAATTTCCTTAGATTAGACTTATCCCTTTTGCTTTCCCCCTAAGGCATCCAGTGTTACTTAGAGCCAAAGAAAAGCTTTAGAAATCATTCTAGAAACCCTATAACCAACTAGAATTTCATCCCTCCTCCTAGGGAGGTTCTAGAATTGGTCAATGGTCAACTTTTGAACATCGTCACCTTTAGTCATTCCACTTTTAGTTAATCCAATTAACCCCAAAATTAATTCCAATTAATTTCTGATTAATTCTTAATTAAAAAAAAATACTATTTCTAATTAACATATTATTCTCATTATATATTAACAAATCATTTATTTTGATTTCTAATTAATTTATTAACTATATAATAAACTAATAAAGCAGTCTCTCTCTCTATCTCTCTCTCTCTCTCTCTCTCTCTAGATAGCAATCCAGTAAATTACTAGGTTTGAGGGAATCCCAAAAGGACTTTGCTAATAATTCAATTTTATACTAATTTACTTATTTACTTAGACACCTAATCCAGCAGTCGCCCATTTGGATAAGTCTAAAACTAAATTACAGGTATAACTTCTAAATTAATAAGCAAATGGTGCTTTCTAAAGCAATTGTCGAACTCTGATCCGATCAGATATTTGTCCTTTAAATAAGTGATAAAACATTCCTTCATTCTTCAAGATATCATATGGACATGAGACACGGATTAGAGTCAATCTCACAGTCCAAAATTATGTTTCCCGATTTCCTGATTTATGACAACTAAAATCAGACTACTAATTGAAAACATCAATTATGTCCAGACTCGACCAAGCTCTTTAGATATCTACATCAAATCATCTAGGGGCCAAAAGATATTACTTTTCCCATTAAAGGCAAAACGAACGAATAAAATTTGACTCATATACTTGTATCTTTTACTCACCAAATCATGAATGATACTACGTTTTATAACATCATGTTATCGATGCATTTTCACAACACCAATGCACAACCGACTTGGAAATTATAACTCATATATCTATGTTTTAAAAATATAAGATATTATCGTCTTACAATTACTCATGATATAATCCATGAACTAATTCTCTAAGTGTGGGTTTATGCAATACTTAAATCTCCATTTCTAAGTAGTCATGAACATTGTAGCAATCTTATTGCAATGTCTAATCCCTATAGATAATCTACAATTCAATTTATGACAGTCTTAATTCACTACTTAATTCCAAAAGTATGAGTGACTGTGGAATTCGAATAATCAAATTATTTATAAAGTACAACATGTAAAGTGAAACACAATAATAAACTAATTAACTATGGTCTCAAACCAAATGAAAATAAATAAATCTCTATTATTTAATCATCATAATAATTATGAATTTATTCATTGTATAATGTTTCGAGTAATCAACTAACCACAGAAAAACATGGTTATCTAATTATTTTCAAAACCATTTTGTAGCATCCAAGCCTACAAAAATATATAAAACAATAAACCAACAACAACATGAAAATAACAGTATCAATGCCTCATATCCTCTGTGTTTTTCTAGTGAGCCAACACACAGAAAAACATGGTCAATCTAGGGACAATCCATAAGAAGTGTGTTGGTTCCCACCAAACTTGTCATCTCCAAGTGATGCATGGATGATCCGCCTTCTTGACACCAATTCTTCATGACTCCTTTTGGTTGTATCCATTATCATTTACATTTTACAAAATAAATTATAATCCATTTCTATACTATTTTTCAACTCCATGGAATTAAAAAACAAACAACATGCAAGTCATATTTATTATTACAAACCAATAATAAATTAATACAAACAAACATCACACATATAGGTCTAGGGAGACAATTGATATCGGATCCATACAAACACAAATTTTTTTATATTATAGATTTGGAGTGCAAAGTATAGAAGAGTGGATATTTTGGTAAAGATTGATTAATCATATGATTTTGGTACCATTAAAATCAATCTTAGTTTATATGATAAAAAGTCATCAAAATAAATTTTGCAACATAAACATATAAACACACTTGATGTTTTTGCATGTATGTGTTTCATGTCAAAACCATCCATACAATCAACATGCAAGAGTATTAAAATATTCGAGAAAGCACATTAGTTTCATTTCATACTCTTTGAAATAAAATAACATATCACTTCATCTACTTTGCAAGCCCTGAGTTCTTTTTCTTGAAACACGAACCTTAGTTTTTTAAAATTAAGTTTTCATGTATTTTAGCTTCCAAATCACATTTTTTTAATAAAGCCAAAACAACCCCTAAACCTCCAAATTTTTAAGGTTTAGAAGGCTAAAAAATAGCCCCATGGTGTTGTTTAAAAAGCAATATCAAAACAGTCCCTTTTGTGCACTATTTTCATGTCTAAACGTCACATTTTCATGTCCAAAAACATCTTTTAAAAGCTTTCTTTTTTTAATACGCAATAAAAATAGCCCCAAGAGCTTAAAAAACAGCATTAATGCTGTAAAATAAGTAGCCATGGTAAAAGCTGTCCAAAACAGATTTTTGGGCTTGAATTTTCAGATAAAACATCATATTGAGATACTTAAACACCCACTAAATGTTGTTTAAAAACTCCTTCATGAATCTCATTTTACAAAAGAAAGAAGAAGCTAAAACTCTCAAGAAGACCTTCAAAATCAACTCATAAGATTTCTACACAGATATCCCTAAAATGTGTACAAGAACTTGCTCATATTCAATTTTAAGAAGAAAATGAAGTTACTGCTAAAACATTATACAAGTGGCTCTGATACTACTGTTGGAAGAGGAAAACTTTCATAAAACGAAAGCTTATATACATAAAATAAACATACAAGTCTTCTTCTTCAAGATGATCCATGTACAAAAGTGCTTGCAACTAAAAGAAAATAGAATAAGAAGAAATCGACCATCTAAATGATATAGAGGATCCAAGGATGAATACATCTAGCATGTGCACACCCAAAGCTCGAAACTCGATGCAAGACTTCTTTTCTATTCTTGAATTATTCAAGAACACCAAGAACACACACCTAGTGTAAGGCTTGGATGAAATTACAAAGAGAGGAGAGAGAGAGAGAGAGAGAGAGAGAGAGAGAGAGAGAGAGAGATAGAGAGAGAGAGAGATGAAATTTAGAGAGAGAAGGGCTGTTTTTTGGTCAAGCCTCTCACCTAGTGAAACCTTTGTGTGCCCTTAAAATGAGAGAGATAGTCACTTGTAATCATGATAGAATCTTTCATAATTTCTAGCCAACAACCATTCATGCAAGCTGTTTTGTTTTTTCTTTTTGTTCGAAAAAAAAAAGTCATCCATGAAAATAATACATTTATCCCTCTTATTAGTTTACAAGTCACCACTTTAAATAATAAAACTTGACTAGAATTGTTCCTCTTTAATTTTTGGTTTCAAGTTAATTCTCAACATGTTGTTAAGTAACTAAACCTTAATTCTTGCATCTATTGTTTGGACTTTGTGTGCAACCCACTATGGTATATGAAATAATTATATTGTGAAAATGGGTATATCTCAAAACAGCTTCCTCTTACCTTAGGATAAATAATCGAGGTAAAATATTTGTTATGATTCGGTAGAACTGGATTTTAAATCCTATTGTAGCATACAATCAAATATTGTAAGTGTTTAGGAAGTATTCATATAGTTTCTCGTTAGTGCCTATTCTACTAATATGTTTCCATATTTTGTTTATTTGATCCCAATATATATACAACCTCATGATTCAAAGTCAATCAAAACAATTGTTTTGTTGTTTTTGTGTATTTGGTATTTCAAAAAAGGATAATGATAATTTTTTTTTACTTTTCTATTCTTTTCTAGGTCATCCACAACACATTAAACTACATCAAGTTCAATGTATTGGCACATCATGATTATATATTTTACACAAGCACAATGCATTGAATGCTACCAAGTTAGATGAGACATTACAAAAGCTAATTTTATAATATTTATTTGAGAATTAGAAAACTTTCCTTTTTCTCATTTAAGACTTTAATGGTCATTTAACTCCAAATATATTGAATGCCAAAGTGACATATCTCAATGGTAGAATGATACGGTTCTTAGGTCATGTATAAGACCACCATAGAACGTAATCCATTAAATAACAACTAGACTTGTCAACACATTCAACTCTCCCATTGAACTCTCCAATGGGGATGCTCTTAGAAAAGTAAGATTTCATTAAAAGAAGGAGTGAATCACAATAGAATCAAACTCAAAACTTTTAAGGTATCCAAAGGAGCACTTAACCTAGAATCAAAATTAGACCTTTCTTAGAGCAATCCCTTTGTTTTGTTATTACATTCTTAATAATTAATCGTGTAATGTATAATATGATTAAAACTCATGACTTTTGAAGTGTCCCAAATAACGCCCAATCATAGTAGCTTCGATGTTCATAGCACTAGATATTACTTGGTAGTACATTTCATAAATTATTCTCCTTATTTCTTGCTAATCCTGGCTACACGTATATTTTCTTTACAACTTAACAAGCTCCGAGTAAATCTCAAATCTTGTTGAACATGATAGTTGAGGCTCCTACAAAGTCCAAACTCCTCCATGTAAGAAATTATTGCAAACATATATATAATTAACCATACTACTTATAATAATGATTTATTAATGATTCCATTGATAAGTTATCGGTTACCAGTAAGTACTTGGTTTGTAAAATGCATACATGCAAATATGTTATTCCCATACGTGTGTGTGTACATTGTATCCTTATGAACAGATTCATTATATGCAGTTCACTTAAACGACATCTAAGATTATTGTCTCATACCTGCTGGTGGCAGCCTGTAGAATATATGCGTGTCTTATATTATACTGTTTTTGTTTTTAAATAGATGACACTGGCATTGAGACCCATGCTCTTGAAGTTTCATGCATGACACCTTAAATAAACTTACACTTACCAAAAGAATATCAATGACTCTCATAAATAACACCTATGGGATTCAAATGAGGTGAGAAATACCTGAGACATAGAAGATGCAAATGGTACAGACCGGCCTACCACTTGTTGAGCATGATGGACTTTTTTGCGCATGAAGGTAAGTAACCTTCCATATGTCAATTTGCTTTCGGTTTCAATAGCTTGAATGAAGCTAAAAGTCAATGCACCTATAGCATTGCCAGTGAACGCCTGCAAATTTATTATCTTCTATTAAGTTAATCTCAGATTGAAATGTATCCTTTCTTAATAAGGATAGTCTCTATAAAGTAAATATATAATTAGTAGCATGCTTGAAGCTACAACCCTAACTTTATAACGACAAATAGTTTTTGTTGCAATAGTACTCTATTTCGTGGTCATTAGCGTTTTCTTACAAAAAAAGAATCAAAATATAAGTTATCTAATACATGTTGAAACTATTTATGATATAAGAGCATCTGCAATGCATAACTTTTTTCGGAAAAGAATCTGCAAGGCATAATTTAATTATGGAATGGTTAAATGACTAGTTAACATTCAATCGATTAAACTCAATCATAGTGGGATTCAGTGCTATAAAATTCTCGAATGGGTCCCGATTAATCTTCGATTAGCCCATAGGCACTACTCGACCTACTAAAAGATGTATAGCGATTAATCCATGCCTATACAGTGAGCGAAGCGGTAGCAAACGGTGAAATTTTAACACTTTCAAGAAGTTATATCTTAGTAGAAACTATTTGAGGAATTATTAGTATTGTGTTAATCATATTAATCTATTTTGTTATGATATTAGTGGTATTTACGAACTTTGATATGATATTATTCACATTTAGTTTTTCAAAATTCAACGAATTAGTTGTTTAGGGTCTCTAATCATCCGATCAATCCCTGCCTAACCGACTAATCTTTTAACCCAAGTCCACCGACTAGCTAATGTCGAATGTTTTTTATAACTTCGGTGGGATTTTAAGTTGACATATAAGGGATTTGGATTTCAATGTCCATTCAAATATTCAATTGAAAAAAACATTTTTTTAATTTGTTTAAAAATATGTTTGGTTGAACTTTATAGCATACAATACAATGTACATATTAAATGGTAAAGTTGTAATTAAATATAGATTAAACTTTATAGAATTCAATTTGTGGTTGCTCTAATGTTTTGTGTAAAGTCGGAAACAATATACAACACACATACTATTTTGGCAAAAGAAGAAAGAAGATGATATTTACCGATGTATCGGCTGAGTTCTGGTTATCTGCACAGGCACTAATACACAGTGCTTTGCCACCACGAGTCCCTTTATTTGTAAGTTGGTGCTCTTCCCACATATATAGTCCATCCCTGCTCCAAAAGAGAACATCATGAAGATATTTTTCTAGAAATCCCAACTAAACAAATGAAAACTCTTTTCGAAAGCGTTAGTAAATTGTTTAATAATTTCTCGACTATATTTAATGTGTTAATATTCTTTCTTAAGGACAATAAAAGTTTGTGGGGAGCAATCAAAAGCTGGGACAAAAAGTGTTAGGTAATTGACACTGACTGGTTGATCTGGCAAAGAAAGGGTAGATCTAGCACAGTTCCACTGAAGCAAGTGTCAATAACACTATGAAGTGTTACTCCATAAGGCAGTGGTGCTACAATGGTGGCATTGATTTCGTCATCAAGTATCACTCCAGCCACTCTATAGTCAAGAGGGCACAACGCTTCATCATACCCATCTATCTCATCTCCATCTTCATCAGGAATTTGGCATGCATGTCCTGCATAGTAGAACATCAGCGAGTCCCCAGATTGACAACCTTGGACTAGCCAACGTAATGCCTCTTGCATGTTACGTTTTGTTGGAATCCTGGAGCGGTCTGATTCCTCTTCTGCAGAAAAAGTTGCATCGTCACAAATCTAGATATGTTTCACATGAACGATGTTTACCTTTTAGAAAACTAAAATTTAACTCGAGGCATGTCCATTTCAAAGTGGAAAAGTACCTGTAAGGATGCGGATTGAATCATTTTGAAAGCCCAGTTTGTTCACAAGTAATTGCTGCATGCTCCTCACATTATGAACACTGGCTTCAAGTTTCTTTCTATGGCCATTGTAGGTCACACCACATAAAACAGCCTTCTTCCTTTTTTGCACCGGAAGTGTTGGTGTTAACTGATTGGTACGGATTTGGGGAAAACGTGATAACCATGGTGATGATGTTTGAGAGGGAAGTCCTTTAAAATCTTCTTGATATGGACTTCTTACTACATTGGCAATTTGTTCAATTCGGTTGAGAACACGGCCCTTAAGCTTTTTGTTAAAAAGGTTGACTGTCTCACACACGGGACATATTTCATATTGTGAGCTAGACAACTTAATCAGGGTTCTTCCGCATGTTTTGCAGCGTTTTTCAGCACTTGACATGTTTGCGTTGTTTAATTTAGAATTGTACTTAGGTAGGTGGAATGAAGCTAAGTATGGATGCTTGCAAATGTTGTTTCTTCACCTTTTATAGTCCCGTACACATGTATCTCACCATATTCTATATTCCAAAACATCTACTCTTGATTATAATGGAATGACTTTATTCTTCTTGAAAGTAAATGACCGAACTGGGTTCACATTTGAAACACCTTTCGGCAGAGATGGATCAAATTTTGTTTTGACACGAATGTTTTCTAACATATGCTCCTATTGGATAGGTATGTGGGGATAATACATTTATGGATTATGAAATTTTATTTCTAGAAAAAGAAAATTAAATCAGTAAAATATAATATAGTACTACTGTTTGGATGTCGTGATTCGTACTAATGTTTGGACGCTCTAGAAGTCTTTGAATCGATATAGTATTTATATTTTGACTAGCTCCTTGGAAGTCCTTTAATTATTAAATTGTTGTTCTAAAAAGAATGTTATGAGTTTAATTATGCAGATATATAGTTTAATGTATAAAAACAAGCCTAGTATTAAATTTATAAGGAAAGATGATGAAGAATATGTTGAAATAAAACGGAAAGTTATGATTAAATTTAAACATAATTTAAAGAATAAAAAAATTTATCATATTTAATTAATGCTGTAACAGATATGTTCTTAATTAAATATATATATACAACGAAAACCATATTCATTTTAATAATAACAAATATTCAGAGAGATAACAATGACAAAGCTATTGCCATTAAGTTGTGTTTAGAGGCAAAATCAAGAATCAATTCCCCACAAATATGAAAGAAAAGGTTAATTCCAAATGATTTGATGTACCATACTGTATAATTAAATTAAGCATATGCATCAAGTACTTTGTAGCATCAAATTCCAAGAACAATACATGTTTCCACCATAGGAAAGACTACTTGCTTTTGTGACTTTAACATATTCATCAAATTCCAAAAACCTCAACTGTTGAAATTGTAAGACCATGTTTGTCAGTTTTCTTTTTAAACTTTCAAGCAAAAATTATCCATTATAACATGCTCTATTATAATCATCAGTATAGTGATCTTGCTTCGAGAAGATATTTTGCCATACATGACATATCAGTTGTCAAAAATTTGATGGTTCACTTGCACATTTATTCAAATCACTTGTTGGAAACTCTTTTACAAGATTGTCATATATGTTTGCTCTTGTATGATTCGTTCTTGGTAATGAAGTTGTGTTTGACTGCTTCAAAAAAACTTGAATTCTTTTGAAGGATTATGATAGTATTGGATGCACTTTATTGTTAAAAAATGGGTGCAAATCTAAGACGAATTAGTCTTCCTGTTGTATGTTTGAATAATACATATGTGTATGGGTGAATTTATTTTTTGTACACATTAACGCTATAAGTTATATATTTTTTTGGGAACCAATTAAGTTCTACGAATACAAGAAGTGGTAAGTTTTGCTTATTAAAAATAAGATGGGAAGAAAGAATTTCTCTATAACTGAAAGCCAAAGTAGGGTACTGTTGGGTAACTATCGCTCGATCAAATGCCTCCAAGACAGTACTGTACTACTGTTGGATACTGGTGGGCATATTTTCATGTGAGTTGGATAAAAATGGCAACATACACCGGATAGGATCATGAAAGGTAGTGTAAAGAAACGTAATCGACACAAGATCTTTCCAACTTCATCATTTCATTCACTATGAAACAAATGGTTTACATCAACAGATTACAACTCAAAACTCACTACACAATCACTCACACTCATATTACAACACAAGTATGAAGATGATATATGAACAAACCCTAAACCGAAGATGAGAGTGAACTAAGAAATACAGATGAAAAATATCTCGACTCATACCCAAATGAATCCAGCTAACACATTATACACATCGGATCACTTAAACATCGGGTATAACCCATTAACACGTGCGTATATCCACCACCTGCATAATCAATTCACAATACATCCCCACAAATATACAATATTACAATTCTTACCCTATAATTAATAAATTAATGTTTAAGTTTGCAAACACTTATTAAACTCTTTTCAACATGCCCCCTCAAACTAAACATTAATTTGAGAGAACATTCAATTAATCAACATTTTTAAAAACATCAATCATATTAAGACGATTCACAATGTACTCATGTTGAACACTTCCAAGAGATTTAGTTAATATATCTGCATTTTGATTTGAAGACACAATTTTATTTACTTTTAAAATTATATTCTCAATTTTTTCCCTAACAAAATGAAGATCAATTTCAAAATGTTTTGTTTTTTCATGAAATACAAGATTTAAAGCTAATTTAATTGTAGATTCATTATCACAAAAAATATCCACAGGTAAATTAGGTTTTATACCCAAATCATGAAGTAATTTTAAAATCCATATTAATTCACAAGTTATGCTACCTAAAGCCTTGTATTCAGATTCTGTGGAGGAGCAAGAAACAGTACTCTGTTTCTTGCTCTTCCAAGAAACAAGTAATCCTCCCAAGTAGACAAGATATCCTGTTACAGACCTTCGACTAAACAAACATTTAGCCCAGTCTGCATCAACAAACCCAACCAAATCTAAACAACTAGACTTAGTCAAATGTATACCCATACCAGGACTATTTTTCAAATATCTCAATAATCTGAAAGCAATATTGACATGTGATTTATATGGCTTATGCATGTATTGACTTAACAACTGAACAGTATAAGATATATCAGGTCGTGTGACAGTTAGATAAATCAATTTACCAATAAGTTTTTGATATTCAGTAATATTAACTAAATAATCAAACTTTTCCAAATCACACTCTCTTTTGATGACTAAATTTGGTTCAAGTGGAGTTTTAACTGGTTTACATGCAAGCATACCAAATTCATAAAGCAATTCCATGAAATACTTTCTTTGATTAAGACATATGCCACTCTTAGTTCTTAATACTTCAATACCCAAGAAATATTTCAAATCACCTAAGTCTTTGATTAAGAACTGAGATTTAAGAAAAAATTTAACATTATTTAATTCAGCCTCATTATTTCCAGTTAAAATAATATCACCCACATAGACAAGAAGCACAATAAAAGTATTTTGAAATTCTCTAACAAACAAGGAATAATCATTTATACTTTGCTTAAAACCAAAACTAGAAAGAGAAGAACATAACTTCTCATTCCACTTCCTTGGGGCCTGTTTAAGACCATAAAGAGATTTTAATAACCTACAAACTTTGATATCATCCTTTGAATGATATCCTTCGGGTTGACACATATATACACACTCCGACAAATTTTCATATAAAAAAGCATTGTTAATATCCAATTGATAAAGTGGCCAAGAATTATAAACAACTAATGAAATAACCACACGAACTGTTACTATTTTGGCTACAAGAGAAAAAGTCTCCCCATAGTCTATACCTTCCCTTTGATTATACCCTTTAGCCACAAGCCTGGCTTTATATCTTTCTATATCACCATTGGATTTATATTTTATTTTATAAATCCAACGACATCCTATTGCTTTTCTTCCTTTAGGAAGGTTAGTAATTTCCCAGGTATTGTTTCTATAGAGGGCTTCCATTTCCTCATTCATAGCTTTGATCCAATTTGGATCTAAAGCTGCTTCATTATAGGTTTTTGGTTCAACAGTTTTATTAAGACTAGAAATAAAACAAAAAGATTCATTATTAAGAGCTGAATAGTTTACAGTCCTTTCAATTCCATGTTTATGCTTACCCTCTACAACATAATCACTACATCTAACTGGCATGTGAACATTTCTTCCAGATCTAGTGACCCTAGTTGACAAATTATCAGAAGGATTAGAATTAACTTAATCATTTTCCTCAGTCAGTGTAGAAGAACTTGGAAACATCTCATCAGAAGGAGGCACATATGCCTCACCAGTCCAGTTGCTGACATTAGGGGAACAAGTCTCATCCAGGTCATGGTCTGCATTAGCACCATCCATCTGATGGTTACTTCTCAAGTTATCTACCCTAGTGTTATCTAGAATAAAACTAGAATTTAAAGACTCATCATAGGAAAACGGGTCATTTGAATTCACAGTGACAACTGATTTATCAGTCAAATATGAAGTTTTAAGCTTGAAAGGAAACAATGATTCATAAAATTTTACATCCCCGGAAACAAAAACAAAATTGGAATCAAGACTAAGAACTTTATAACCCTTTTTATCAGAAGAATAACCAAGAAAAATGCATTTATCAGCTCTTTCAGAAAATTTATCAGAATTATTCAACTTAGTGGCAAAACACAAACATCCAAACACTCTAAGTTTATCAAAAACAGGTGCACTATTATAAACAAGTTCATAGGGAGAAGAACCATTTAAAACAGAAGTAGGTGTTCTATTAATCAGGAAAATTGTAGTTAAAATGGCATCTCCCTAGTACTTAATTGGTATACCAGATTGAAAAATTAAAGACCTAGCAACATTTAAAATATGTCTGTGTTTCCTCTCCACAACTCCATTCTGTTGTGGAGTATGAACACAAGATGTTTGATGTAAAATTTCTTTTGATTCAATTACCTGTCTCATTCTATTGTTTAAAAATTCAGTACCATTATTAGATCTAACAACCTTGATTTTAACACAAAACTGATTGTGCAAGATATTAAAGTAAACAAGAACACAATCATAAACTTCATCTTTCGACTTTAACAGATAAACCCAAGTTGCCCTAGTAAAGTCATCCACAATAGTCAAAAAATATCTAAATCCTTCTGTAGTTGTCACTCTATAGGGACCCCAGACAGCTAAATGAATTAACTCATCAAGTTTAGAACTAGTATGTTGACTGACAAGAAAAGATTATATGGTTTGTTTAGCTTTATGACAAACATCACAGGGTGGAAGAGTTTCATTTCCAATTTTAAGTTTATGTCTTAAAGAACTCAAAGCTTGATCAGAAGGATGACCAAGTCTATTGTGCCAAGTTAGTTTAGACACATAA